CAAACAATGAATCATGGAACACTACATCAAAAACTAATGATGTAATGTATGGTGATTAACATAATGTAATAATAAAAAATAAATAAAAATAAAATTGTGGATTCTGCCAAAAAATAATAATAATAAATTTTTTAAAAACCATAAGAGAAAATACACAGATACTATAATGTCTAAAATTAAAAAGACTGACCATACTATGTACTGATAAAAATGCAGAAGAACAGGAAATCTCAAACATTGGTGGGGGGAATGTAAAATAGAATGACCACTTAGAAAAAAACACTTTAGCAATTTCTTTAAAAGTTAAACAACTACATACCATATGATACAGATACAGCCTTCACAGGTTTCTACCCAGAAAAATAGAAGCACATGTCCACAAAAATACTTGCACAAGAATGTTTGCAACTTTATCTGTAATGGCGTAAAACTGGAAACAACCCAAATGTCTATCAACAGGTAAATGGATAAACAAACTGTGGTATATTATACAATGAAATACTATTTAGCAATAAAAATAATGAACTATTAATGTGTGAACTTATCTCAAGTAATTATACCCAGTGAAAGAAACCAGGACTCCCCACCACCAAAAAAAGGGATAATTGTATAATCACACTTATATAAAAATCTAGAAAAATGTGAACTGAGGTATAGTTACAGAAAGCAGATCAGTGGTTGCCTGGGGGTGGAGGAAGAGCAAGAGTTTTAGGCTAGGATTATAAAGAAGAATAAGAAAATGTAGGGGTGATGGATAAGTTCATTATCTTGATTGTGCTCATGGTTCACAAATATAAAACTATGTCAAAATTTAGCAAATTATTCCCTTGAAATATGTGCAAAATTTAACAAATTGTTATATCAATTATACTACAATAAAGCCATTTTTAGGTGTTCTGAAATAAAGCATAAACACTAATACACATATATTACAAGGGATATCTTTTAAACTACTACTAAGAAAAAGAAAGAAAAAAGTAAAAATATTAGCCAATCTAGCAAAGCAGAGTAAAGAAAAAAGTGAAACAGGGCATGGAGAGTAAACACAGTAAACAAGACATAAAAATTAAGATTATAAAAATATGACCGGGGCGCCTGGGTGGCTCAGTCGTTGAGCGTCTGCCTTCGGCTCAGGTCATGATCCCAGGGTCCTGGGATCGAGCCCCGCATCGGACTCCCTGCTCGGCGGGAAGCCTGCTTCTCCCTCTCCCACTCCCCCTGCTTGTGTTCCCTCTCTCGCTGTGTCTCTCTCTGTCAAATAAATAAAATCTTTAAAAAAAAAAAAATATGACCAAATATGTAAGTAACCATAACAAATGTGGATGGTTTAAATTCTCCTATTAAAAGTTAAAATTCTCAGAGTTAATAAAAATCAGCTATATCTTGTCTATTAAAAAGCTGTAGCTTCTCTGTAAAAGGTATACCTAAAATAAAATGTCACAGAGAATTGAAGACAAATGATGACATATCAGGCAAAGACTAACCAGTGGAAGGATGGACTGGGCAGCCAAGGAGGTAAAGGGTTCAGATTTCCCATCAATAAAGAACTTACCATTCACATGCAAGGAGTGCAATTGGCTGATGGCCTCCAGTTGTTAAGGCCTTCAGGATCCATCTCAGCTTTTGAGCTGAGGTCCTACACTTCTAGCCAATAACTAAACATTTTGCCACTTGTGCTCATGAAAGATTCTTCTTAGAAACAATCTTTGCTCCAGGGTTTATCACTGGTTTGGCCAAGACTTTGACAGTTCTATATCTGGATCTGAGGCTCTTGTATCCTGCTTCCTCCCCTTTCCTTTCACAGGTTTCATTCAGATCAGTGTCATGGTCTGAAGGCTTTCCCTCCCCTACCCTACTTCCTGCCCCTTTAATCTTTCACAAATATAACCCCTCTCTCCCAAATAACCTTTACTGCTCCTAACTCCATCTCAACCTCTGCTTCCTGGAGGACCTAACTGACACACCTGGTTCAGTTTCTAGATTTTTCTGATTCAACAGATCTAAAGTGGATTTGAGTAATCTATATAATTTTTTATTTCCCAACATGATTCTCATGTTTGACCACATTTAGCACCCCTGTAGGGGAAGATTTTAATGCATTTGTTTCCTGTGCAACATAATTTAACATTTAAAAACTATTTTGAAGTCTTTAAAGTGTCATTTATATGGCTGTTTGAGATATATTATCAAGTTAAGATGTAATCACAATTTTGCTTTTTTTTGTTTTTCAGTAATAGTTAAACAGATATTTTTGAACCCAGTTAACTATGAGCCTCATCCCACCCAGGGATGGATGAAGAATTAAGAAAAGGTAAAGGACAGGGTTTGATGTCTATTGTTGTGCACTGCTTGGTAATATTTATATGGGGAAGTTTAATGTTTTGGGGGCTTAGCCAAGTGGTGTCAAATTGGTTTGGTCAAAATCATGTGCTAAATGTGATTAGATTAGTTTACCTCCAAAAGAAACTAAGAATCTTTTTAATGATAAAGCCTAGTGTAGCCAAAAATGTCTGGAGAGGGGAAAACATTGACAAAAGAGCTGTCTTAATTGTTTCACATGGCAAAATGGACGAATGAATGGATTTTGTTTTAATTTCTACCATGATGAAAATTTTTAATATTTTTCCTGCTATGGAAAAGCAGACTTATTTTTTCATAAATTTTTATAAATAAAATATATTTTTCATAAGATTAAAAACAATTAATATACACATTCTTAATACTATATTCCACAGAAAAATTGAGGGCAAGGGTCATGTCATCCCTCGGCCATTCTCTTAGCACAGAGACCATATTTTATGGATACCCAAGTTCTTCCCCATAATGCATATTTAGCTGCTTATATACTCAATGAACACCTGTTATTTGCTAAATACCTCACAATAAAATGTACATCATAAAAATACGCAATTTCAGTTTATCATATATGAAAAACTATTAGGCATTAGCTATCAATCTCTATTGAGATATGAGTTCAGAAAGTAATTCCTCACATGTGTTCCCTCTCTCTTATTCCTGCTTTCTCATCAACATGACAGGAAAACATAAATCCAGTTTTGTCAAATAGTGTAATTTTTATTATAATCTTACATCACATTAGTTAACTGGTTGATTAAAAACAAGAGGTGGGAATCTTGCAGATATTAAAATAACAGTATATGGAAAGGCACATTCAAACATGGTTGAAGGGAATGTCAATTGATACAATTGGACATATCAATCAATAAAAAATGCACAAACCCTTTTGACCTGAAATTCCACTCAGGGAAATTATTCTATAAATATACTTAAACAAATATAAAGAGATCTATCCACAAGAAACATTCTATGTGGTATTGTTTATAATACCAAAACAAACAAATAAAACTTAAAACAATCTAAATGTCTACCACTAGGACTGTAGTTAATTAAATTATGACATAACCATACAATGGAATTTTATAATCATTAAAAAGAATGAGGTAGCTCTGCTTGTATTGATATAAAAGATCTTCAAGACCTATCATATTATTAGCTTTCTATAAGTGCAGAAGAGCATCATGATATGTTCCCATTTGTGTCTTCACAAGGATATGTGTTTATATATGTAAATAGACTTATTATGAATGCACACCCATACCTTGGTGTACAGATATATATACATAAAATTTTCTGGAAGAATACATAAAATATGTTGATTCTTCCTTCTGCAGAGTTCTTTCTTGAAGAAATTCAGTTTTCATTATCTACTATACTAAACAATTTGAATATTTTATCATAGCATTTGCTTTCTTTGTAATAATATCAGTTCTTCAGAGAACTACCTAATAGCAGCTAACATTCTAAAATTTTAATATATAAGGATATGTATGAAAACCTTTTAAAAATCTCTATCTTCTCAGAATCCTTGAAAAGCTAATTCCAAAATAGGTTTTCCATACTAGAACTCTAAGAAAATCAAAATAGTAGTCCTGCTGTATCTTTATTCATTTGTTCTGTTGCTAGATTCCAATAACTTATGAAGTATGGAGACACAGCCCATCAACTTCACTTTGTAAAACCTGAAACCTCTTCACTTGCTCACAGTATCATAGAGTGGATTGTTCTTCTCTGTGTAGCTGGCATAAGGCTGCATTTCCTCCTAAGAAAGAACTCAAAGTCAAAATCAATTCAAAAAAGCTGGAAGTCACCAACCACTTATGTTCTTCTCACAGGTGCCCCCAGATTTAGTATCTACAAGAGTGCTTATATTTGTGTCTCTGGGCTTACATGGCCGTAAGAGAAAGACTGTTTTCTATTATTTTGTCAAAAAATTTATTGATTATTTAAGTTTCAGTGTGAGATGATAATGTTGCGTGACAGTAGGAATGGAGAAGGATGAAGTAACATGAGAGGTATTTCAAAGGACAGAGTCAAAGACTTGGTAAGGTACTGGCTATGAGATATGGAGCAGAAGAGGATTTAAAAGCAAGTAAGAGGGAAATGATGATGATATGGAGAAAGGGAAGTCAAGAACTGGAGATGGTTTCATGGGGGAGGAAAGACCAATTCAGTTTCTCCAAACATTATAGTCCAAATTTGGCAAACATGTGTTTTGTAAGATACAGTTCTTGAAATGAAAATATTGCTTGGAATGTGTATAAATAGTATAAGGTAGATAATTAACAAAACACGTACACCTGAGTACTAGCATTATGAAATTAGAATTTTTGCTTTTTAATTAAAATACTAATATTGAGGCAAATTACAAATTGCATGGTTATATTTTCACTTTGAGGCTTGAAAGTTTGCAAATATTCTTTTTAATGTTATCTTACCTCCTCAACAACTGAAGTAGCTTCCATTTTTTTTAATTTGCATTTTCTGCAAAAATAAAAATAAGCTGGAGTGAATGTAGAAAACATCATTATTTAATGAAAAATGGGAAAACAAAACAGTATATTATTGACAAGGGTGGTTCATTTTTGATAGAAGCCATAATAAAGCAGAAAAGAATTACCAGAAATAAGAATGTTACTTGTAGTTAATACACCCAAATGACATAATTCTGGATATGGGGAGAGGAGTGAAATTATGCAACAGAAGCATGATATATGGAATAAATGTGACACATCCTTATTGGTACATAATATGAATTATTGTAGTTCTTTTCTCAAATACAAATTAGCATACAATGTCTCTACCAGGATCTTGCCCTAAATGGCCTATTTCACTATGCTTGCATGGCTAAGTAACCAAGCAAAAATCCCTCTTGTCATTTAAAGTAGTCCAAATCTAACACCTTTAGGACACACTTCTTGATTATGGGAGAGTTGATGTTAACATATTAATTTTAGCCCATCAATTCCATATGTCTGACCCCTTCTAGCCCAATTAAACTAAGAAAAAACATCACTCAATACCTGCAGCAATCGATTTTCAAAATGGATCCCACAATGAATCCCACAATGATCAAGGTAATCAAAATAGAGGAGGTGATAGATAAAATAGTTAATTTCAGTGGTGATTGGTCACCTGTAAATATAGACACAAAAATATATGGTTTAACTCTGGTGCATCTAGATAATGGAATATTATTTAGCACTAAAAAGAAATGAGCTTCATGAAAAGACATGGAGGAAATTTAAATGCATATTACTCAGTGAAAGCAGCCAATCTGACACTGCTACATTCTGTATGATTCCAATTATATAGACATTCTGGAAAAAGCAAAACTATGGAGACAGTGTGAAGATCAGGGGTTGCTAGAGGTTAGGGTAGAGGGAAGAATGAGTAACTGGAGCATAGAGGACCTTTAGATAGTGAAACTACTCCATGGGAAGCTACAATGGTGGATATATGCTACTTCTACATTTGCTAAAATTCATAGAATGTACACCTAGAGTGAACCATAATGTAAATTACAAACTTCGGGTAATAATGTTGTGATAATATAGGTTCATCAGTTCTCACAAATATACCAGTATGGCATGGGTGATGTAGAGAGAGGGGGAGACCGTGCATGTGTTGGGGCAGGGATAATATGGGAACTCTCTGCACTTTCCACTCAATTTTGCTGTGAACCTAAAACTGCTCTAAAAACTAAAGTCTATTAAATATATATATACATATATATATAACTAAATAAATGTTCAAGGATGTCTCAGAATTCATGAAGTTCACTTCTGTGATTTTATTTTAAACAGTTTTGACTCATTAATAGTTCAAATCATTGTTATAATAAAATTGCTTTATTAATTCTGATTCTAGGGTGTTTAGCAAGACATCATCCTAAGTCAAGGTTTTGGGGCTTTAAGGATTCATGAATGATGAATTCCTACAGGAGAGATGTGCAGACTAAATTTCTCAGTTACAGTAATAGCAGGGTGTTTCTCATCTCCAATATTCAGAAGTAAATGGGGAATTGTAAAAAAGGTAATTGGAAAAACAACCTAATCCTGAAGTCACCTTTCTTCCAGGTCCTTGAAACTGACATGAATGCATGGCAGCAACTTTCAATTATTTATTAACTCTGGCAGCAATATAAAGCTCAGTCTGACAAGAGAAGTCAACAAAGGAATTGCCAGCTCTGGGAATCAGTGGTTCTAAGACCTTGTTCCTGCTGTACCCTGAATTGGGCTGAGGGCAACAGATGGAGGTAAGTAGAAGCTAAGCAGGCTGGCGTCCTCTCCCTCCACATTCCTTCAACAGTTTGTTTTTAAACATTGCATTTCTGTGTCTTTTATTTGAAAAAGAAAAAATTGTTTTACAGTTAAAATCAACAACATTGTCTTGAAATCCCCTCTTTCAAACTAATGCACTTTCTTTCATTGGAAGTATAGCCACAGAGGCTGAGGATCTGCCCTGCAAAGAGACAGGAAGGAGACCCCAGCACTGGCTGAGAGTGAATGAGACAGTCCCTTAAGTCTGAGCATCCATAAACATGACATCATATTGTAATACCAGGTGGTCAGATTGCATACATAAGCAGAGCACAATTAGTCTCCTCAGTATATAATGCTAAAATCTTTTTTTAAAATCAGCTTAACAGTGGATATTAGAAAATGGTGGTTTAAAGACATGGATTTTTCTCCTCTCTCTTCTTAAACTTTATTAAATTATCAGTAGGAAAATTTTCTAAGTATAGACTTTCTAAATATAGACAATGAACATGGATGAAGATAAGCAGATGAAAAATTTCAACTTGTTCTTAGGTGAAAAATGTACAGAAGAAGGCAAATAATTTACAGTAGAATAAGTAAGAATCTTACTGTCCATAGCACACCAAGAAGACTCTAGAATAGGAAAGGTCAAATATATAAAAAGGGGCAAATGGGGGGTGAAGTGTAAGTTAAAAGTTGGAAGCCTTTTTGAAGGTCTGTATTAAGAAGAGGTAGGCTGCCAAGTCCACTCCCACCCTGTGAAGCCAGGTCGCTTCACCTTCCTCAAACAGCAGGAAACAGGAAGTTTGCCCAGAAAAGGTGAAAGGGAAAGATTCCAGAGTCAAGGATCCAGACATAATGGAGGGTGGAGAGGAAGTACCAGATTGAAGAGAGGTATTAAAGAAAAGTCTGAGTTCTGAACAGTCTCTCTCTCTCTCTCTCTCTCTCACACACACACACACACACACACACACCTCTTCTTCTCTGTTCCCATAACACTAATAGTCAAGGTTATCCCTCTTAGACAATAGACTGGAGAGTTATTTTCTGCAGAACCTGAAAAGCCTCAGAGAAAAGAATTTCAGATAACTAAAGAATCCGTATCTAAAAATTGTTTTTTCATTTACCTCCTTTCAGACTATTGAAGCTAACTAGTTGACAGGACCACCCACAGATAACATAGCTTCCAATCAGTTCATTTTTGAAAGCTCACTTTGAAATGAATGGATAACCAAGGATTACCAGAGAGTAAAGGAAAGCTTCATACATAAAACAAAGAGATTAAAACTAGTAAATGTCTGGAAGGCAGAAGGAACTCAGATTAAACAGACATGGAATCAAGCAGAGCACTGTGGGAAAGAATGCCCAGGACAATCGTGCAGCAGGTCTAGTGACTGCCCAGGCCAGATTAGAACAGAGTATGTAAAACTCAAGAAGGGATGTCTTCAAGAAAAAAAAAAAAAAAACAGAACTGATGGATTACCCAATAAATTTGACCATGTGGAAAGTAGGATTAATAGGGGTTTTCTAATTTTGTCACTGAGCTTAATGGTAATTAACAATAAGTACATATTTATTTTTAAGATTTTATTTATTTATTTATTTGAGAGAGAGAGTGAGAGAGAGCACGAGAGGGGAGAGGGTTAGAGGGAGAAGCAGACTCCCCGCTGAGCAGGGAGGCCGATGAGGGACTCGATCCCGGGACTCTGGGATCATGACCTGATCCGAAGGCAGTCGCTTAACCAACTAAGCCACCAAGACACCCCATAAGTACATATATTTTTAAGGAAACTAAAGAGTAAAGTTTAAATCAATCATAGAGACTACTATAATATATCTAAGAAATTATAGGAAGAACCTGGAGAAGAAAATCCTGCCAAACTAAAAATCTGTGAAGAAAATGTATGAGTGACTTGATCCTTCTTCTAAATGCACAAAGATTTCTTTAAAAATACAATTTAGTCTTCTCCTAAAACCAGAAGTATTAATTTAAAAGTACACTACTCAAGCCAACTTACTACTTGTATAGAGTGGACATTAAATTATTAAATTATTTTTCATTTTACTTTATTAAATAATAAACTTCACTCTGAAATATGGCTTTAAGGAGGAGAAGGACATAAAAAAGAGGGTGGGGAGATTATGCTTGAGAGAAATTCTCTGCACACTCCTGTTTCATTCGCCTGTAACTTCTCTGAAAGAATGAACATATCAAGCAAAAACTGGAATTACTAACCTGGATTCAGCTCTAAGGACAGAGTCTTGTTGCCAGTCACATGGGAGACAGAGCAGGACACGTTAGACACCTGGCGATCCTCCCAGTGGCATGTACTCAGGACGGTCACTGTGCCATTGCCCAACTGTTGTTCCGCAGTGTGACAGTCTCCCCCTGGGGTCCAGGAGATCTGTGCAGCTGGCTTCCCTGCAGCCCTGCACACCAGGGTTCCATTGCTGCCTCGAAACAGGGTCACCTCAGGGGGCACTGCAGAGATGCAGGGGAAATGCTTCAGGCTTAACACATGGGGTATGGAATAGAGAGAGATTTGGTTCAGTCCCAGATCTGCTTCTCTGACGTACCACAATATGTCATGCTCCTTACCTAACACTTGGAGGTGATATCCAAAACCAAAATTCCCATCACGTGAGGCCACTTCACACCTGTAATATCCATCATGAGTGGTGGCCACGGGATCAATCTGAAGGGCAGGATTCTGATCGGGTCTGGACTCCCAGGATATTCTCTCGTCGGTACAGTTTCTTTCACTGGTCTCATTCTTATCTCTCCTGTAGGCTCTAATGCAGGAAGGCTTGTCTCTGAGGTTTATTTCCCACCTTATTATCAGCACATTGGTTAAGCCGACAGGACGGCAAGTGAGCACAGCCTTTGTAGCCACAATTACAGACTGAGAAGTGTTAGCTGGACACACACACAAGGAGAAAGAAAAGAAAAGCTTGATAAAAAACTTCAGGTGTTAAATTTTTCACAACATATTACATAAAGTAGTACTAGAACACGACTTTGCTGGTGATCCTATCCCAAAATATTAGGCTTACATAAAAAATTAAACATGAACCAAATGGTATATAACACATTAAACCTAATCCAAAGATGAAACCATTTGTCTCCTATATTCTGTGTTATTAGATAAACTATATTTATTATATGTATGAGAAATATTTTAAGGGTCTAAAATCGCTTCAGAAGTTCTGTATAAAACAAACAAGAAAACACAATGTAAATTAAAGGACAAAGTCATCTAAGTCTAATCCTTTTGTCATAGTAACTATTAGATTTATCTTATAACTGATGCTCCTCAGGACAGAAAGTGGAAAAACTGGCGATGTGGTTTTCTCCTCCTAAGTTTTGATCAGAGAGACTAAATCAGTAATATCAGAATGAAATGCCTATCCCGAAGGGTGCCACTTCGGACAAACATAAATAAAAAGCATAAGATGGCATTCAGGTTGAACAAACTGGACTTTTTAAAGCTACTTTTTATTTGGAGAATCACAAAGTCAGTAAAACCAACAGATCTTCCTTCCTTCCTACTGAGTCACACATATACTACCCAACAGTCCCACTATGAACTTTGCTCACAGATGTTGTTTCTGTACGTCCTACCTAATTATGAGGATTAAAGGAAGAAGTTCACTGCTTTTGCCCATCATTAATGTAAAAATTAAGCCCTGCAACCTATGATTTTTCTCCAGTATAGAAGCCTCAGCTCTCCCATAAACACACATAATGCATGCATGACTGGGAGGGCTTTGCTGAGAGAGGATTAGGGGCATCAGGTACCACATACTGTAACCCAGGTGAGTGGCAGGAAGCTCATCACTTTAACGTGAGCAGAACAAGCTGTGGGGGGCTAAGTTGTTATGTGGGTGAACCTCGTTGTGCTAAACTCTGTATGTGAGGTCTCTCCTCTCCTCTTCTGGTATCACTTGCCTCTTCTGCGATGGACTCAAGACCTTGCATTTCACAGCCAAATCAAGATCCCACAACTGCAGGAAGCAAGTGGGGGTGGATTTTAGAGCAGATCTGAGAGGCAGTTAAATCCATGCTCCTTCCACCACTGCAGGAGGCTTCCCACCCTAGGCAACTTGGCCAAGGCTCAGAGGCCAGCAGCAACATAGCTGCTTGGAGAACAGCTAGGGCTGGGTGTGGGTGAGCACACATGTGCCCAAGGGCAGGATGCTGAAGATGAACGCAGAAAGAGAAGAGGCTGGTGAGGAGCATGTTGTGAGTGTTCTCTGTTTGCACTTCAGCTTGTGAACAGTCTAAGGCTTTAATATTTTGCCTGATACTTATTCTCAAGATCTGACTCTATTATTTTAAAGGAACCTACGAGCTGATCAATTAAACATATGCATTTTAACAAGGGCACAGTCTCCAGTGAAGTAGCTCCATCGGTGAGGATCCCAAGCACCATGGGTAGTCTCTGTTCTTTCACCTTGCTCTGCTCTATGACCCTCCAGCAATCCCCCTTCACCTACAATGAGACTTCTTATGTGATTGCTGTTATTCGCCCTTTCCAATCCTCTTCTTTCTCTTTTCATACCTGTTGTGATAATTTGCCAATGGCCAGTCACTCCCCCACACTCAGTGGGTTGGCACCTGTCCAACAAATATAATCTCCACACACCCTGTGATCAGCTATGGTGATTTCACCTCCAGCTTCACAGAGGGACAGTGGGTAGATTCTCATATTTGCTCCAGAACGAGCAGTCGATGTCCCAGCATTGCTGCATCCTGTGTCTATGACTACCCCCCAGTCTCCTGCAGCCTTCTGCACACAAATCCCTTTTCCTTTCTGTTCTCACTGCCTTACCCTAGTTTAAGACCCCATCACCACACACCTGGATCACTACAGAAGCCTACCACCATCTGTCTCTCTCTCAAAACTCTCCTCTCCTCAGTCCATACCTTACCTTGCAGCCAGGTACGTGATTCTGTAACCCAGGGGTGACCCTCTCCACCCTGACACCCTTCGGAGATCTCTCACTGCCTGAAGACAACACTTACATGTCTTTGTACTGGCTTTGAAAGCCCTCTTTTTCACATTGACTCACCTTGGCAACCTTATCATCCCTGTGTCGCCCCAACACTTCAAAAAGGAAACAGCAAGCACAAGTGCCTATCTAGGTCTTCCCTCAATGGTTCTTGGAGTCTGGGATGCCTACACAGCACCCTCTGTCTATGAAAACGCTCCTCTTCCTTCAAGAGCCAATTCACATGCTGCATCCTCCTGAAGCCTTCTCAGAGCCTTGGTGCTCTCTCTCCCTCCTCTACATCCCTGGCACACCTGATGTGAGGGCTTATCTCCTCTATTTTACAGGGTATCTGTGCTTATTTCTGGGTTCCCCCACAAAACTGAACCCACTTAGGGCGCTTTGGCAGTCTAGCTCACCTTGCTCATCTCTGTGCTCCCCACAAAGCCTGGCACAGTGCCTGATAGAGAGAGCTCCATAATCTTCCCATGGAATTGAACTGCTTTGGGGGAGGAGGACCGGGGTCATTCAGGGTCCTCCACACCACAGCATTCAGATCACCATACTCTTCAACTGGGCTCAAGGCTGGCCCCCTGACCAGACCATCAACTACGCTTCCAAGGAAGTTCCACACTTCCTCCCTTTAGTTCTGGCTTCTAGAAAAAAATTAAAAAGCATATTACCTTCCACAGGAGGTGTGAGGCTGCTCTGCTTTCCTTCCACAGATGACCTATTTGTTGTAGCTAGAAAATATTCAAAGAAAAGTAAATGAAATCAATTTTAGGTGCCTAAATGGAGTGCAAGCCACTATGAATCCACAAATCGTACAGACACCATGATAGAAAATCAGTTAACTGCAACTAAATTCCACAAAAAGCTTTGCAAAACAGAAATTAGAAGTTATTCCATCAAGTGGAAAAACATGTTAACACTTGAAAATTATGTTAGAAACCCTTAATCAATTATTCCATTTATGGGACACCATACTGTATACTTGACAACAGTTTTGTACAAGGTAGCCTCACTCCATCACTTTCTTAATCATAGTGGATTGGTCCATCATGGGTACCTCACATGAGCTGGGCTGAGTATAGTGCTTTCTAGACATGACACCCCCAGATTAAAGTTGCTTGATCCAGTTGTGAGCACCTCACCCAGATGCCAATCAGATTACTTTCTCAAGAATTTTGGAACCAGTTTGAGAAGAAGGGTCCATTCCTCTTTTTCCCTCATTTTTCCCACTGCGATGGCTAATTTTATGTGTCACCTTGGTTAGGCCATGGCTCCTCACTATTTAGTTAAACAGTATCCTAGATGTGTCTGTGAAAGTATTTTTTAGATGAGATTTACACTTAAATCAGTAGACTTTGAGTAAAACAAAACCCTCCAAAATGTGGGTGGACCTCATCCAATCAGTTGAAGGCCTTAGTAGAAAAAGACTGACCTTCTTGAAAAAGGAATTCTGCCAGCACACTGCCTGCAGATTCAAACTACAACTAACTGTTCCTTGGGTCTTCAGGCTGCTGGCCCACTCTGCAGATTTTGGATTCACCAAGCCTCCACAATCATGTGAGCCAATTCTTTAAAATAAATATTTCTCTAGATACATTGATAGATAGATAGATAGATAGATAGATAGGTAGATAGATGATAGATGATGATAGATAGATGATAGATGATAGATAGATGATTGATAGATAGATGATAGATAGATAGATAGATAGATAGATTAGATAGATCTCTCATTGTTCTGTTTCTCCTAGGAACCCTGACTAATACATCTACCTTCTGAAGAATGAAGCGGAAACAGAGAGAGAAGTGACATTCTTCACCTAGCTCAAGTTTCTGTGTATAGTTCCTGAGATCAACATGTATTCCTTTCCTTGCGTTCTGTAGAGTTACTGACAATCAAATAGTTCTAATCTACTTCAGACTTGGTTTCTGAGAATTCCCATTTAAGTATTGTTTTTTAAAAAAAAACAACAATGAAATATAATACTTCTATGATTTAAGAGCCTAATAAAGTTCCTCCTCTGGGTTTATAAGACCACCATTTAATAAGCATTTTATGAGTCCTCTGTTTATAAAAATGTACTTCTTGCTTCCCATTCTAATTATGTACCCAATTCTACCACATTAAAAAATAAACAAAGAAATTCACTAAAGGTCTAAGAAGTAAGCATAGTTAGGCCTCTAAAATAATTAGGCTTTTTTAGGCAAGTACGTTGTATTGGCTTGGTCTGGAAAGAAGGCAAAGAATGAAGTTGTGGGGCACCTGGGGGACTCAGTCGGTTAAGCGTCTGCCTTCAGCTCAGGTCATGATCCTGGAGTTCCGGGATCCAGTCCTGCACTGGGCTCTCTGCTCAGCGGAGAGCCTGCTCCTCCCTCTGCCCCTCACCCTGCTCATGCACTCTTTGTCTCTCAAATAAATGAATAAAATCTTTTTTGAAAAATGACGTTGTAACAATTAAATTTAGCTCGTATTGGGCTCAAGAATCTATTCCAGAAACAGATAAGTCAGAGCTGACCTCAGAGGGCTTACTGAAATCGAGCTATAACTTAGATATTCTAGATTTTAAAAGCTCTTTTATAACACAGTATAACTTAGCCTTTCCAGACCTCTCCCATCCTATCACACCCGGCTTCTTAGAGGTCTAAGGTCTGACAGTTTCTTCCTTTGTCAAATTCACCAACAACCAAGACTAAGGGTTTATAATGAGAGAAAATTTAGGATGCGGGTAGTTTTGATGATGGTATTGTAGTTTCCATTTGGAAGTGTCAAAAGGAAATTTCTAAGTTGTATTAGGAATAAGGGATAGAAGTAAGGTGGGCTGCGGGTACTGGAAGAGAAAAATCAAAAACTGCAAACTTTTTCCATAAAGGGCCAAAGAGTAAACATTTGAGGTTTTGCAGTCCATATGGTCTCCATTGAAAGTATTCAATCCTACGATGGCAGCAAGAAAGCAGCCATATATAGTACATAAGTCAATGGGCATGGCTTTTTTCCAATAAAATTTTAATTATAAAAATGAGCTGGCTGGATTTTGCCCATGAGCGATAGTTTACTGACTCTTGATTTAAAGTATAGTGTTTGAAAACTTCATTCAAATCAGTTATGAAGACATCAGTTAATGCCAGACCAGGTTCTTCTAATAGAATCCTATACTATCCAGACACGACTTTAGTTATATCTGATAAGAACGAAGTTGCAGATATTCCCAGACAAGATATCTGCAACCTCTCATGTCAGAGATAAATCTCACAAGTCGGAATGTACTCTTAAGTGTGCAAAAGGATTGTTTTCAGAAGAGAAGAAAATGCTTATTTTCACAAATATTCTCCTAATTTCTTTTATGATACTGGAAATACTTTTTAAACTTTGTTAATTGTTGATATATGAGTCCTTTCGTTTTATTATCTCCACTGCAGCTAGTTGCCATGGAATGCTGATTTCATATCAAGTATCTTCATTGAAAATAGAAAGCGTTCTTGTCCAGTCTTGCTTGAAGCTTCATGTACACCAAAGTAGTAAAACAAATGTGTCAACCTTCTGACCAATGGTGCTGTGATTTCTTTATTTATCTGAAACCAAATTTTCTTTAAAGTTCAGAAAGATTATACTGTTACATTGTTAACATCAGAGGTCTAATTTAACACTTTCACAATGTACATATATATAGACAGAAACAAACATGAATTGTGTTTTTTAAAATATATTTATAGTAGAAAAGTAACTTAATGACTCATTAGATTAGTCACCTAGGGCTGCCTTACTATAAGACGACCAACGTGGTCACATAAAACAACAGAAATGTATTCGCTTCTATTTCTGGAAGCCAGGAGTCTGAAACTAAGATGGCAGCAGGGCTGTGTTCCTTCCAACAGCTCTAGGAAGAATCCTCCGTGCTTCTTCCAGCTTTTGGTGGCAGCTAGCAATCCTTGGTATTCTTTGGCTTGTAGATGTGTCATTTCAATCTCTGCGTCTATCTTCATATCGCCTCTCCCTGTGTCCTCTCCTTTTCTCTTCACTTCTAAGGACTCTTGTCATTGGATTTAGGGCCCACTCTCATCCAGGATGATCTCATCTCAAGCGCTTTAACTTAATTACATCTTTAAAGACCCTTTTTCTAAATGCAGCCACATTCACAAGTTTCAGCTGTATATTTCTTTGGGGGGGAACACCATTCAACCCACCATTCCTGGGGGGCACCATTGTTGCATTGTTTCCAACCTTTAGATTTATAGTTTATATAATTATTTTACTTATTTTATTCTGTAGTTGACCAGGAATCTAATTTTTCTAGATGGCGAATAATTGAGTGAAATTAGAAAGCGTATTTATAAGTCCAGGAATGCATTTTGAAGTCACCGGAATTATTTTTCAATGAAGTGAGGTATATAACAAAAATAAAAATTTAAAATATAAAGAAAAAGTTAACTATAATGGCAACTTTGGGCGACAGTACGGCTGAGTGGGGAACACAGACAATAAATTACTAATATCAGCTAAGACCTACTTTTTTAAACCCATTTCAAATATTGAATGAAAATGTAACTTACATTTCAAAAATTGTATGAAAAAATTTTTTTATTTTATTATGTTATGTTAGTCACCATACAGTACTTCATTAGTGTTTTGTTTTGTTTTCATTTTAATTTATTATGTTATGTTATCATACATTACATCATTAGTTTTTCTTTTATTGTGTTATGTTAATCACCATATATTACATCATTAGTTTTTGATGTAGCGTTCCATGATTCCTTGTTTGCGTATAACACCCAGTGAAAAATTTTTGACATGCCATTGGTTTGCTTAGTGATCACCATTCTTGAAAAAGATACTAAATAAGCACAGAAATAATTTTAGAGTGAAATATTTATGAACTCTTCATAAAACAAACAATATTATATTTAGACACTTTTAAACAAGAGTCTATAACTACATATAAAGCAATTCAAGTTCTTAACATAAAAACTGTACCAGCATCAAGTACGCTTCTAGCAGAATTATCATTAAAAGATGACCATTACCCAAACTGTAATTGGCCTTACCCATTTGCAGCTGCGTTAAGTTTCTTGGTGTCCCAGAACTTCGCACTCCTGCACACACATACCCTGAAAAGACATATGCGGTGATCAGAAGAATACACATTAGTATTTTTCTGACTCCTAGGTAAAGTCACACTTTTTTCACATTCTTCAGGCCATTTTTGGATTGCGGTTGCCAATAAAAACATAAGTTATGACAGGCAATAAGTCTCAGGACAATTTGCCCCAGGATGAACTTTTGACTTGAACTTCCTACCTGTTTGGCATACCCCTGCTTTAGATCCAGAGTGTCTGTCACCACCCTCCTGTCTTTATATTCTAATCACAGTATTTCTTATTCCTGGCTTATGTGCATTTACTTCACCTCCAATTGTGAAAGAAATGGTTTTACCATCCATTACAGGCTTTTCAGGCACCAGTGAGTAGGTCAAGAAACGCTAAGTGAAATAAGTCAAGCAGAGAAAGTCAATTATCATATGATTTCACTTATTTGTGGAAAATAAGGAATAGCATGGAGGACATTAGGAGAAGGAAGGGAAAAATGAAGGGGGAAAATTGGAGGGGGAGATGAACTATGAGAGACTATGGACTCTGAGAAACAAACTGAGGGTTCTAGAGGGGAGGGGATTCGGGGGATGGGTTAGCCCGGTGATGGGTATTAAAGGAGGGCACGTACTGCACGGAGCACTGGGTGTTATATGAAAACAATGAATCATGGAACACTACATCAAAAACTAGTAATGTACTGTATGGGCACTAAGATAACATAAAAAAATTAAATTAAATTAAAAAAAAGAAAGTTTAATAGTGATATGTTCATTGAGTGTTGGTATGGAACAAAAAAGAATTTTCCTAAGCGTTGTTGAAATCATATCATATAGACAATGGTCTATTAAGTTCAAATTTTGTAAGGCAAGCTCTAAGTAGGAATTGCTAATAAACATTTTTTTTTTTTTTTTTGAGCAGCAACTCCTGGCAAAGTACTCACCAAGCATAGAAACATCGTAATAAACGATGCCCTCTTCTCTCCAAGAGCTTCAGGTCCAGGCAAGGAAGCAGCTATTTATACAATTAGAAGGTAAAGTTTTCAGAGTGATGATAGAAACAAACATAATGTCCAGAAGTTAAAAAGAAAAAATGTTTAATTCTAAGAGAGCAAGGGTAAAACATTAAGGAAGATTCTCTACAACAGGTGATATTTGGGCTGGATCTCAGTAGATGAGTTCTGCAGGGAGACAGAAGGAAATCTTTTTGCACACAGAAAGAAAGCCATTTAGAAGATAGAAAGCTACTTGGGACTTTCAAAGAATTACGAATAGTTCAGTGTTGCCATTAAGTGCAAAACAACAGATGTGTGATTAGAATTGAGGCTGGATATTGGCAGGTTCTCACTGTGGAGGGCACAAAACTCCTAGAAAGTGTTCACAAGGAAATGATACACTTCTGGTGCATCTAGAGTGGGTGTACCTGACTGGCAAATAGAAACATTTTAGGGTAAGATTTAGTGCACAGTATTTTTCTAGAGAAATTTTGAACCCACTGCTCCTCTGAGCTACCATTTTCTTTAATAAAACATTGTTTTTAAAATAACAATTTTTGAGCATTTGCACAAGGAACAAATTTTGGGTAACTAGCATATGTTATTTATTTCAGCCTCCCCAGAGTGACAAGTATTTTAACGTCATTTTACAGATAAAGAAATGTAGACTCATGGTGATGAAGCAGTTTGTCCAAGGCCACCCTGCTTGTAAGCTGCTCTAATTGCCCAATTATTCTTGTGCAAGTAGGTCCTACTACACTGAATAGAAACCAAGGGTTGGATCCTAAGAAATGCACTAGGATAAATATACTACCCAAATTAATCTAAATTAAGAGAGTCAAAGAAGCAAGTCCAAGCCATGTTTTTGGGGAAACACTGAGAGACAAAGGTCTGAAAGAGTATATCAAATGGCAAGAAAATAGAATCGGGATTATAATGGCATATGGACACACGCATTATGAATTCTGGATCTGAATAGGAATAGGAATAGTTAAGCTAAGGAGGAGGGTTGGAGACAATTGCCGAAATTTGTGGGCCAAACTCATCACTCCCTCACTAGATTGTAAGCTCCATGAAGGCAGCGATTTTCATCTATGTTTTCCATTCCACATCCTCAGTGCTTAGAAGAGTGGTTTGCACAGCTCCCTGACATGTAGGTGGCTCAAGGTGGGTTAAAAAGATAAAGGTCAACACAGCCTTACAGCAAACTGTACTAAAGATATGGAGAGTTAGTTTACAGAAGCAGTACAAAGGTCTTACAGGAAGATGCTCATACATCATTCATGGTAAAAGAAATGCAAATCAGAACTATGCAGAAATATCGTTTCTCACCTATTAGACTGCCAAAGGCCAAAAATTTGACAATGTACTTTGGAGCGGTGTAGTGATAGGCTGCCGATATAATGCTGATGGGAATGTAGAATGTTACAACTTCAACAGAGGGAAATTTGGCAATATATAGCAAAATTACATATGCATTCCTCTTCTGACCCAGCAATACCAATTCTCAGAATCTATCCTAAAGATACACAGGCAACAGTACGAAAAGAATACATGAACAGGACTATTCATCACAACATTGTAATAGCAAGACTTTTAGAAATAACCCAATGGCCACTCCTAGGGGATTAGTTTTCTAAACTATGGTACTTCCACGAAATGAAATATAATGAAACTCTTAAAAAGAATGAGGGATAGTTCTATAAACTATTATGAAGGGATCTCCAAGATATATTGTTAAGTAGAAAAAGTAGGATATACAAAATTGTATATAGTACACTACTGTTCATAAGCTATGATGGGAGGGGTGTGTGTGTGTGTGTGTGTGTGTGTGTGTGTGTGTGTCTGTCTGTCTGTCTGTTCTTTCTTTCCTTGCTTATAATTTCAAAACTAAATGGATGAAATAGGAACGGGTATAGAAATGATATGTCTCCGATTTTATAGATTTGACTTTGGAACTATGTAACCATTTTCCATAATTATAAAGCATAACCAAATTACTTGTAAACACTAAAATCACGAAGCAAAGTGAAACAAATGAACCTAACTGCTCATAGAATTTGTTGCATAACCACGTATAGAGCAGTTATTCCAACTGACTTTCAAAACACAGCAATTTGACTGTATGTCTCTAGTGGAATATAACTTAACCACAAAAATAATTGCAAAAAAAATCTTTACGTATTTTCAATAATTATACTGTCAGTGGTAGTGGACACTACACTGGAAAACTTCTGGCAGTTTTTTTTTTTTTAAGTCAAACATGTGCCCACCATACAGCCTGACCATCCCAATCCTCGGTATTTACTCAAGAGAAATGAAAACATATGTCCACACAAAGACTTGTGCATGAATGCTCATAGCAGCTTCATTCACAACAGCCAAAAGCTGGACACAACCTAAATATCAATTAACAGATACATGGATAAATCGCCCGTATGATGGAATACTACTCAGCAACAAAAGGAACGCACAGCAACCTTGAGGATTCTCAAACTCATTCTGTTGTGTGAAACAAGCAGACACAAAGAATATACACTATACACTACACAAAAAGAATGCTACTAAGATGAAATGTTAGCTCATCTGTCTGTGGTGCCAAACAGCAGATCAGTGGTTGCCTACAGATAGGGACAAAGGCAAGGATGAACTGCAAATATACCTGGAGGAATATTTGGGGAATAATGGGAATGTTCCATATCTTGTTTGTGATGATTCACAGGAATATGTCAAAACTCATCAAACTGTACCTTTTCAATGGATGCAGTCAATGGTACATAAATTGCCCCTCAATTGAATTAAATACAGTATCAGAAACATCAGATTTTAACACACGTAACATTAGAACATGCATCCACACAAATAAACACAAAACAAAACACAAATGGAAAAACCCTTGACACTGAAAATAATGTTTAAAAAACTTTCCCATCTAAGTCAAAAGCATCAGTAGAAGTAAGATTGCTTTGTGATTTTAGTACAAATGAAACCTCTTACTCACTTTGAGCACCAGAAGTTTCCTTTCCCAAATCGTCATTGTCATAAGCCTGAGCAAGCATACACCACCCACACAACAGACATTATATGGGCATGACCGTGCAAAGCCATGCTCCAAAGGCTTCCTCCAGTGAGGGGGGCGGGGGAAGGTTCTCAGAAAGAGCACATGGTTTTTTTGTGAGGTTAAACAGTTTTTATCTATTCTCATATCCTGTGGTCTGCTGTGCTGTCCCGACTAAAACAGTGAGAGATAGGCATTGTTGATATTTCATCACTCCCAATAAAAGCCCCGGGTCAAGTAACTGCTAGTAACCTAATTAGAATGTGGATTATGCCATCCTCCAATAGTTACTAGGGTTGCTAAGATTCATGTATTAGTTCCAGTGTGGGGGGATGGGAAACGAAAAAGTCAAGGATTTCTTGCCCTTTCATTCCTTTGCAGGTTCTTTGAGGAGAATGCAAACAAAGCAGTAAGGAGGCTAATACAATGAATTTTAAGCTAAAATAATGCTTAACTGGGGGCAAAACTGGAGCCTAAAGTATTTGCTATGCTCTAATAAGATGCCCATATATCTGCAAAAGAGAATCATGTGGTATAGTTCCATTTTTACATTTCTTTTGACATTTCTTTACAGAACTTGGGGCCTCTAAGCTAATAACTAACTAGAAGTCATTCTTATTGCTTATTATGGTCTTTCCATCTTCACTTGTCATCTTTATTGTTATATAACATTGAATGAATTCACCACTTTGAAAAAAAACAGAATACAGAATACATTGAAATACATTTCAATACATTGAGATCTATGGAAATATCCTAATGTTTTTCATAAGGAAAATCAAGGAATAGAATTATTTCATTCTACATTTGATGTTTCAAGCTTTCAAACTTCAAAACTCTACAAGTTATTATAACAAATATAGTGCTAGACAATTTTGGATTAGCAATGGCTGCAAAATACAAGAGATATGAGTTTTATTTCTCACTCTGCTTCTCTTCTGAATCATTTTAGATAATTAAATGAATCCA